CCACAGAAGGCTGTAGAGGCCTGTGGAAGCCCACAGGCTTCCAGAAGGTTCGGCGCCACTAAAGTGGCGCCTGTGGCTGCAGGGTACCTAAAGCTTTCTTTGCTCACTGTAAGCCCTGTAAATACAGGGCTTCTCTAGTGCTCTCAGAGGCTAGAATTTAACAGTTATTATTAATCCTCTTATAATCAATAGTTTCGATCGCTTATAATTACTTTTAATCGTTACTAGTTATCATTAATCTCCCTGTAAATAACTGCTTTAATCATCTGTTAGTACTAAAAAGGGGTAATCGTACAGTCTTTATCAGGCTTAATTATTAAGTATCCCGCTTACTAACTAATACGTTTAAAAATATAGGAATCGAAAAAGATTGGTTTTAATTAGTAATATTAGTTATTATCGTCGTCGTACGTCCCTGTATCTTAACTGCGATTAAAGGAAAAAAGGGATTTAGAGGCAATTAATGTCGATATCCCATCGACGTAATTAAAGGAAAAAGGTCGTTACCATCCTGTTAATAGGTACTATTATTAAAGCACTGCCTTACGGACTTATTAGTACGCTGTAGGTTATGTGCTCTCTGTGATGGTGGTTAATTAATGATGGTTAACAGCCATCAGCCGCTGTCGTCTGGGACGACAGTGGCCAATGCTGACTAATCGACAGATGACTAAGCTAGGCGAGGATGGCCATGGCCATCCTCCAGCAGCCACTCTTTTTTCACATTGCTGACTGGGCATTCAAGTGAATGGGGCAGCGCTGAATGGAGCAGAAACAAGGTGAATTCTTGTGGACTCACAAGCTTCCGATCGTCCTAGTCTTTGTCTATTCCTGATCCCGACATTCCTGGGCCGCCCTCTGGCATATTGAACCCGTTGACCAGCGTACATATTACTCGTCCAAAGCGAGTTCCATCCAACACACTAAGTATGCAGCGCTAGCTCACCCCCCCAAACATCCTCCAGATAAAATGTCAACGAAATTCCCACACCAAGTAGCATCACCTACGCCTTCCCCTCCAACTTCAAACTCCCCCTAAACTCCTCCAAACTCACCCCCCTCTCCCTCAACTCCGCCTTCTCCCCCTCCCCCCGCGGCAACCTCTCCCAAGTCCAAACCTCGCGCACCCCCAACCCCTCCAGATAGTCCAACCCCCTCTCATAGCACGTCGCCACTTGCTTCACCCCATGGCTATCATCCGAAAACGTAAACCTCCCCCCCATGGCCACCCACTCCACCGCGACCCCCCTCGCCGGATACGGCTCCGCCAACCCCTTCCTCAACGCGCTCGTATTACACTCTAGCCATCCCCCAACCCTCTTCACCTCCCTCAAATTCCTCACCATCTTCTCCCACACGTCCGGCCACTCGGCCTTGACATCCCTCGCCGGATTCTCACTCAACAACCTGATAAGATCAAAGTGCCCCACCACCTTGGGCTCCAGCGCCCGCAGCATGTCAAACTGCTCATCATAATACCTCGCCCACAACCCCCTCTCCGTCCCGCCGCAGGCCGCAACCGCAGAAGCGTACATGGCCTTGTCGTAATCGATCGGAATCCCAGCCACATGATGCAGCGAACCCATAAAGTAGTCCACGCGCGGATCGGAAGCAAGCGACTGTATGAGAGGCGTGTACTCGTCCGGACGGAGCCACTCGGACTCGAAGCCGACGAGGATGTGGATCTGGGAGGCGTATTTGGCCTGGAGATGGACGGCGTGGGATAAAAAGGCGGCGTGGCGCGGTGACAGGGCGGAGAGGGATTCCTCGGGGGAGGGGACGAGTTCCTCGGGGTAGAGATCCGCGACGGAGAGGCGCGGCATGTGCTCGGTGAGGCCCATGGTGCGGTAGCCGAGTTGGATGGCGTGCTGGATGATGGTTTCGAGGGCGTCGACGGCGTGGCCGGGGCAGAATTGCCCCGAGTGGGAGTGCATTGTGAAGGCCATTTTCACTGGGTTGATGATTGTCGTGGAAAGGGTGAGGAATGGTGAGAGAAAGATAAATCCGACAAGAATATTATGTGCGATTCTGTGAGCTCGCCATGCTTTTGGGTTCTTGGCAAGGTTGTGAGGCGCGCGAGTGAGTTTATCTCACCGAGTGAATCGAGGGGAAAAGTGGGTGCGATGTCGGGAGCACCAGTGAAGCTTCAGCCCCCAGCAACGTGCAGCTCGACATTTTTTATTTTGACAATGGACGACCCCCTATCATGCTGCCACGGGCCGAAAACCATGATCGTTCTCCGCTGTGGCAATCTCGGTGTGAGTCGTCTGCTGTAAAAAATTGATCAAACTTAGCTAAACGGTCAAGTATGACCAAGTTGCTCCTTCCGGGAAACCAAGCTCATGTGGGGTCGTTGTGAAAGACGTCCCATGTGCTTCCTGCTGCGAGATACTGCCAAAACGTAGGCCAAGGACGAATGAGATTCGAGAACAGCGATGTGATACTTGGGAATGGAGCTCTTCGACGCCGTCGCATCATCGAGCTCCATTGAGAGTATAGTGAGGCGAGCCAGCCATGAAGCGGCTGCGCTGTTGCTGTGGGAATGAGGTGACAAGCTCACCGCACGCTGAACAAGCCAACAGATCGGCAAAGCGCCAAAGGGTATTGACCGAGGTTGACGGTCTACCGCCGACGATGGCCTTGCAACTCCGTCCAAGCCGCACCACGGCCACGACGTTCGGTTACAGATGACGGGTGACAACGACGATATGACCAACGTGGTATCGGTGCTGGTATTGCAGGTGCTCTCAATTACCTCATCCCGGGTAATCCGTAGAAAGAACCCAACCCTTCGTCTCCCCCATGTCAATGACGGGACCGCTTACATCCACCGCGCAACGCCGTCCTTGCCTGCGAATATCCTCACCGACACGCCCTGCGGCACCCGGATGCGCCCGCTCCCCTTAATGACCAAACACGGATACGAATCGCCGGGCCCAAAGAACTCCACCTGCTGGCAGTTGCGGCAGTACAGCATCTCGCCCTCGGGCGCCGAGAACTCGTACATGGAGCTCCGCCGCGCATTCTCGAAGAAGTTCTCTGGTGCATCCAGAGATTCCCACCCCTCCGTCTGCAGTGCATGTAAAGTCAGTCAGTCAGCAAATCCACATTGCACCACAGCCGGAGCCGGGGGATTCGGAGAAGTCCCCACAGTGGTTACGAGAGAGTAAAGAGAACCCTACCAATTTCTCGGCCAACATCGCGCGCGCCGGATCCGCCATAAACTCGGCGATGCTCGCCTGTCGCTGCGAGTCTGCAGCCGCCATCTCGCGTTCGAGGGTCCGTGTGCAGTGGAGAGCGGGGTGCAGTAGAAAATGCGGTTGTAGTGTATGTACTGTCAATAGTTCGATAGTTGATGACGCCGGCGAGCTTCTCGAGATAACTTCTTTTTATCCCGCCAAAGCTTCAAAGAAAAAGCTGCAAGGAAATTGAAACGTCCAAAGACGCGGCGACGACCCAGCTCCTCGGGAGCTTTATCTGCACACTTATAGGCGCGTGATCACGGTGGACCTCAAGTAAATTAGGTTTCGCGGGGGAGGGGGGTGACTCGGGAGGAGGAAAAAAGCGAATGAGATCTTCATGCAAGAACCATCAAGAGAAATCTTGGTATGCAGACCAAAAAAAGAGCAAAAAGAATCGATGGAGATGGGACTCGAACCCACAACCTCAGTCTGGACCCATTTTTTATAGGAGGACCACACGCTACCATTGCGCCACTCCACCCGATGTTTGCTTTGGGCACGAAAAGCAGTTCAAGTGCTGTGCGCAAAGGCCGCATGATTGTGAAACTTGGGATCCATGGTTGACGACCCTATTTTTACGCAATTGCTGCGTTTGGCTTGCAGCGCCAGGTTGTTTCTGGTCTAGCTTGTTGGGCCGAAACATGCGAATCTCTTATGTACATTATTATACATGGGAATAATACAAACAGATATAATACAGGCCCAAGTATGGGATGCCAACTTGAACTCGGTGCAATGCCTCGGTTCCCTATAGAGGCCGGACAGGCTCATGAATATGCAGCTCATGGCGCTCAATCGCCATCTGCCTATGGGGTGTGCACCAAACGACCCCGGCGGAACCTCTAGCGGCCCGGCGGAACCTCAACTCCCATGCAAACCGCCGTGGCATAGTCCCCGTCGTGACTGATGCTCACCCTCACCTCCTGATACGGCTGCCCCTCTTTGTCGCCCTTAACGTATACTCTTGGTGGACCGCTGCCCAGCCTCTCCATCCTGTCACTCACAACTCCATTACCCGCGCTGCCAAGGGGGACGGGGCTCTTGTCGTTGAACACCAATATGTCATGGAACGTCAGCCTCCTATGCGGATGCGCCTTCATGACCGCCTCTTTGACCGCAAACCTGCTCTTGTTAGCCTTGCGTCCAACAGCCCCGCCACCAAAACAGCAAAACTCACCTTCCGGCTATCCTTTCCGCTTTCTTCCACTTGACCATTTCCCACCAGAACAACGTCCACTCATTCTGCCTCATGGTGGTGACAGTCGCTCCATCCGTCCACATGGCCAACGCCTCCTCCTTGGTCAACAACTTCTTCAGAAACCTCCGCCCCAGCTTATCCTTCATAATCTGCTCTATCCTCGAGATCCTCACGATATCCGTCCCGACGTGAAGTATCGGAAACGGGAACGGCAGCGGCTCCACATATTTCTCCTCCTCCGTCTCGGAATGCGCCTCCTTTACAAACCCCTCCGCTTCCGCTTCCGCCCGCGGCCCCGGCATCATCGCTCCAACCCGTCCCAACAGCGGGAACCTCACCAGGCCATCTCCCAACCGACCTCTTCCCTCTCTTCTCCTCTTGACAACCGGCAACCCATCCAAGAACCTCACCTTCTCCCCTCCATCCCCCTCCTTCGCCGACCTCGCCGGCGGCTCCTTCGAAAACCCCATCTCCTCAAGCTCCTTCCACGCCTCCTCCCACCCCTTCCTCTCCTTCTCCTCAACAACCCGCAACTTATCCATATACCTAACCTTCACCTCATTCCTATCCCCCATCTCACCCGCTCCCACCGCCGGAAACTCACCCTCCTTCTCATCCACTCCCACCGCCGGAACCTCCCCCTTCCCACCCCTCTGCCCCCCCCTCCGCATCAGTTTCTCCATCTCCTTCCTCTTCCTCCCCGGCGCCATTTTCTCCCAATTCTTAATCCCCGCCCCCTCGATAGCCTTCCCCTCCAACACCTGCGTCACCCGACACCTCTTCGTTGGCGCCGGGAGCCAGTCGAAACCTCGCCGGAGACATGTCGTTGTTCGGAGCATGGTAGCGGTTTATTGTATAATGATTTTGACGCGCAGCGAGAGGCGGCAAGCGCGAGGAAAAGAAAGGAAATATCAGTTGTCTGTGTGCCGGCGGGCTTGTTGCATCTTTCGAGGCAGTTGCTTCTTGTCGTGCTGGTGTTCGTGCCGGGGTTGGGTTCGTGGTGCGGTACCGGTACCGGTGTTAGGATCAGTGGGAGGCGTAGCTAGCGTAGCTGAATAGCGAAGGTCGGCAGTTGCCCTCGAGAGACGCGGCGCGCCGCGTGTAGATTTTCTCTCGGGGAATTTAGCTCCGGTTGTTGCTGTCGTGGCGCACGCAGATCGTCGAGGTTTGGGTCGCAAAAAAAAGTGGTTTGCGATTGCAGCGATAAGATTCGCCAATCGGCGGGTGCCAGCGGGCGCTAGGGCAATGCGAATTGACATCCATGAGCTTAGGATGCTAAACAGAGAGTCCAAGAGAATGAAAAGGCATCAAATTTGAAAATTGTTCACTGACTTCGAATGGCTGGATCTCTCATTATGAAGCTTCAGATCTCGAAAGGCTACGTCGGCGAGGCATTGGAATCGAAGAATTAAGCACCGCGAGAGGCTGTCGTAGCTCACGCCAAGAAACCCCAACTCCAACATCTACGTTTAACGAAAGCCAAGCATCACGACGTCATTGGTTCCAGAGCTCCATCACCAGAAGTTTTGCATCATTAAAACAAACCGTTATTTTCAATGCATCAGCAAGCCCAACTAACAGTTTGATGAATCGAGGCCAATCACTCCAGCTCCAGCATTACACCACCGCCAAATAAAAGAAACGAGCAACGAACCGTGCCACCACATCAATGCTGCGAAACGAAGAAATGCTTTTCGTTACAGGCAATAAGCAATGCGCAGCACCAGCTAAATTCCTGTCCGCCCTCGCTCCCCCCTGAGCGATCGCCGACCACAACCCCGCATCTCATATCAGTGCTTGTTGCTTCCCTTGGTTGCATGAGGAACACCACATCTCCTCAAGGGTCCGCGAGCAACGGAGCACGCTCGGTATCATTAGTCGTCGTGCGCCGGCCAAACGGGACATCCTTACCAGTCCACGCAGGGATGGCCACAAGGATGCTGAAGACGAAGAGTACCGCCATGATGGTGAACGCGAAGATCCACTGGAAGGCAATGACCTGCCTCTCAAACTGGGCGACACCCAGTGAAGCTGACAAGACGCTCAGGGAGAATCCCATGGTGTAGTCCTTGTAGAGGATGATAAAGAACATGCCGTAGCCGAGAATCGACCAAATGGCAATGTTGGCAAAGATGCGAGCAACCAGGCTCGTGTGGTGCGGCACCATGGCGGCTCCGTTCGTGTAGATCGCCACAAAGGTCCATGCCAGCGGGCCCGACACAGCAGGCAGGTGGATAAAACGGGGATAATTATTGTGGCGGAAGTAGAGGGAGGTGAGGTTGACGAAGTTGAGGATCAGGATGATCTCCGACCACACAGTGTGACCGTGAACGAAGAGGAGCACCCAAGCGAAGTGAAGCAAGTTGTTGACGATGAAATGGCTCCCGACAGCGCACGCCGCATTGACAGTTTCGACGGACGATGAGAAGAGGTGAGCAATGTAGCCAAGCTGGAGGATGAAGAGGGCGAGCCTGAAGAGACGTGTCAGCGTGAATTGGCAGGACGAAGGCATCCATCTTACCAGAAGAGAGACGTCATCAAGTAGTGCTGGGTGAAACCAGAGGGGTGGTAGAAGTCGGCATCCCAAAGCGAGCCTGGGTAGTAGCGGTGGTTCCATTCGCCTTTCGGGAATGTGTAGTAGACGGAGACAATGAGCGACAGCAGCCAGGAGACCACCGTGAGGACCTTGTATGTGACCACAGAGCCCGTGCTGTGCGAATCCCGCTTCGCAAACGGGTTGATGTTGTTTAGTCGATCCATGTTGCGAGATGAGCTGTTTTCGGTGCTGGAATGGCGAAATCTCAGCGGTGTTGCTCTGTTCTCCAAATGGGGCGAGATCCTTCGGGGAAGATGTTGGGTGGAAGTGCGAGCCGGACTGGAGTGGTTTTAAGAGCTCAGGGAAGACGGCAAAACAAGGTCAAACGATCGCGATTTGCGGGGAAGATGCGAGCGCCACATCGACGCTTGTACGCTATTCGAAAGCAAAGGTAGGGCACATGCACACTTGTGCAGCGGAGCAGGCACGGCAGGGTACGAGAGTGGTCAAAGGAAGGGTCGATCCCCTCTGCGCGGGGATGGATCGGATGAAATGCCTGCTTCAGACAAGAAGAGGCATCAATGGTATCACGAAAGCCTCAATCGTGTTGCAAGAGGGCTCAATTAGGCTGTGAAGCGTCAGCTACATTGTACTACGATGTCGAGGACCTCGCCAAAGTGCAATCGGTACGGCACGTCTCTCTGGGGCATTTGCTACATAGCACTCGCAGCAGCCCCGCGTTTAAACCATTTGAGAGGAGACAGCAAGCAGGACCATGGTCGTTGGCCAGCCAGGTTAAGCATAGGAAGGAGCGTCGTCGGTGATGTGGGTCTCGGCTCATCTTTGTTTGCAGCTCCTGCCTCTACGTCATCGAGCCATCAAGGTGTCGGCAACTTGCCATTCTGTCCTTCTGCCCGCAGCTTGGGGGCCGCATTTTCATCAGTGCCCCGAGGTATGCTGTCGATGGGTATGACAGATTGTCTAGAATGGATTCCATTGGGAATACCCGCCCGTCCTTCTGTCAAGCATTGCTCGTCTACAGCCCTTCAACGAGAGCTTGATGTTGGAGCTCTGCCATTTGTCTTGGCTCCGCTCCCAGCCTCTGTGATTGGTGAACGTCGGTTTTGATTGCGTCACTGGCAGTAGGGTGGGACCACAGAGTGGAAGCCCGGCAACGTAACGGCGCGCCCCCTCAGAGCATCGTGCTTCATGCAAGCTATCACGCTCTGCCGGTCAGCCAGTCAGTTTCATCCTATTCGTGCAGGAAGACTCAATCACAGCATCCAGACCCCAATGGGCCAGAGGGTGAGTCAACTGCGTGATGCGAGGCAGATTAAATCAGGACTGCTGAACCAGAATTACAATTGCCCAAGTCCGACGGGCAGGGACGACGCGGCTGTCAATCCGGAAACTCGAAATCACGAAAAAGGTCCCAATGAATTTCCAATTCGCCCAGCAGATCATCAGCCGGGTCATATTGTTCATCTGCTTAGCTGCAGCACCACGGGCATGACAGGCCGTGAGGCCGGGCTCAAACGGTTTTTCGCGGGTCAAGACGGCCCTACGAACAACAAGCAACAGAAGTGCGGACTCTGGAAAAGGGTTGCTTGTGCGTGCGTCTGCATTTTGCAGAACATTAAATCCAGCCCTCCCTTCCCACCCTTCCAATGATCAAATAGCTAATAGATGGTAGTATCCACAGCATCGTACCGACGCCGCCCAAGAGGCTGTCGTCGAATTCGACGCA